TTATGCTCGTAAAAATATCCTCCAGATCCAGCATCCTCGGTTGGGAAAATGTGGTAGCAACTTTCTTGCCAGTGACATTAAAGTAGCTACTGATAGGATCACAAGGAGCGAAAGTTACGACTCAAAGAGTATCCTTTTTTTGGGGTCCTTTCCGGGTGTTCCTTATCAAAAGGTGAAGAACAAATTTATTTGTAGATACGAAAGAGAGAGTTTACTAATTGCTAGGAATGAGTCATAAGGATGGGTTGGGAATAAGACGTATTTTTCTTGAAGAATTTTAAAAGAACTTACAATATTATTATGCCAAAAAAACCATCATATAATTAACCAATTGACCTCTTCGATCGAGGAAGTGATCAACTGAAGAAAAAGCCCCCAATAAATAAGCCCCAACAGGGCAACCAACTTTAATATCAGCCAGAATCTTCCACCTCCATCTTCTGAAGAAACCTTCTTTTTCCAGAATCCCCAATTTCGAATCCCAAATCCAGTATCCAGTATCCAAACACAAGTCATTGAGCAAAGCAAATAAAATTATCTCATTACAAATTATGCCCCCAATGCCAGAACGAAGGTGGAGGAGAATTCTTCTGGAAGGAGGAAAAGAGCAGCACGAGCAGAAGACGCTAAATAGATTATGTCAAATGATCGAAATCACATCATAAATCCATACACTAAAAGAAAAGCAAGAGGATAAAGTGGTGCCGCGGGGCGCGGAATGAACGCATCCAAAATCAAATAAGCCAGGGCGGTGCAGTGTGGGCGTGATCTTGGCCATGGTCTGAAGACCTCATTGCCCCACCATCCCAGCTCCCTCCCCCCCATACCCTTTAATGCCAAGGAAATGCCACTCTTTAACACGTTTTTAAGGGGAGGGTAAGGTCAAATCATGCGAAAAAAGCCATGTTTTTGTGATTTTTTTCCTGACGACACAGTTAAAATTTATTTATTCAACCCACGGTATATTAAAGTATGACATTAGAAGAATGTTTTATCAAATTTTTACAAAAAAATATTTAAAAATATGGCAATGGTAGCAATTGTCCGGACGTGTCGCCAAAAAAAGTTGAATTGCGGTGCCCCTCATAACTCGGTGCTGGATCATTTGTAATCAAAAAATGAAAATTCATTCGTTAGATAATAGTTCGCCCCAGGTAACGCTGTAAAGGTTTTTTGAAAATTGCAATTTTTTAATTTTTTCGAAGACTTTGAAGTGAAAAACTCAATTTTTTGGGAAAAAATCGGTTAATTTTTCATTGCAAAATCAAAACTATGAACAAAAAAAAAAAAAAACTCGACAGCGTTACCTCGTAAAATATGTACAGAAATAGTGTTTAAAATTTCAAAAGGATCGGTGCAGTAGTTTTGAAGTTATGAGGGGCACCGACTTTGAAAACGTGAGTTGTGGGAAAAACGCTTTAAAGTTTTAAACACAAAAAAATCCAGTGTAAAACGTTAATAAGCAACTTCGTCAATAACTAATAACTTCGTCAATTTTGCTTTAATTGACTTGAAATTTTGACACAATATTCTTCAGATATTATGCATTCAATTTAAAAAATAAAAAAAAAATGGAAAAAAAAAATATTTAATACCTTACCCTCCCCTTAAATGGAATGAAATGCGGCCGAGTCTGAGTCTCCAATTGCCCAACATCGATTATTGTTTTGCATGTGGCCTTAAAATAAAAAAAAAATCAGAAACCGAAAACCGATATTGGTAAGAGCGGGAAGGGGGAAGGTTCTACCCCGACGGCGCTTTGAAGCTCTACAGTGTTCAGTGTACACCTTCGATCTACAGACGAGAACTGATAACGCACCTCCAGAAAACCACACCAGCCAGCACCACCATAACCACCAAAGGAGGTGCAGAAGTTTTGCGAGAAAAACAATAAAATATTGATCGGAGTGAACAATAAATTCGATGCCTAAGTACAGAGTCCTTATTCCTATGTGTATGTGTGTGTGTGTGGGGGGGCGGTGTGTGGGGCTTTAGTGGGTCTTAAGTTTGGGAGCTTTAGGGGTTTGGGAGGGCTCCCTCACACTTTGCGTGCAAAAATCGATCAGCTCGAAATGAAATTGAAGTTAAAACGCAGCGCCCCGGGGCCAAAGGGCCATATAGCATGGCCAAGATATATATCTTTGACTCCAGGAACAGTCTGCACCCACTCCAGGATTATAAAGCACAGTTCAAAATAATTTTATTTTAATTTTAAATAATATTTTTTTATTTTTTGATTAAGGATTAAGAAGACATGATGTTTTTTTCTTCTTTCTTTAAGGTTTAAAAGGGTTCTTTAAGGTCTTAGGATAATCATCTTTAACTCTATTTAGAAAATAGAAAAAAATATAAGAGAATATATAGTTTATTAAGTATACCTGGTATATTAAATTTTTAGTAATTTAGTGGCTTAATACTTTTAAAATAATAGTTTTAATATTTTCAAAAAATATAAAAATAATCCTTTCCTTTTTCTTCCCTTCTTGTTCTCCTTCAAAACCCCTTTTTATGTTTCCAAAAAATTCCACCAAATTCTAAAAATAATTTTTCCAAAAACTAAAAAAAATATAAATTATAACCATTTAAAAACCACAAAATATCATTCGTTTCGGTAAGTGTAGCCTGCAGTTCACAGCGGGCCAATGACTTTCTGGAGCTTCTTTGGGCGGCATTTGCGTGTGAAACTCCTTTGAAATTGGATAGACCCGGCAAGGTACCTTTAAGGATGGACAAAAAAAAAATATAATACTAAAAACTGAAATAAAGCCAAAAGAAGGGAGAGGTGATCATTGTTCGGTTGACATTTTTGGGCAAAACGAAATCAATTTGCAAATGGTTCAGTGCTCGTCCAGAAGTGTAAAAAATGCATTCTCCGTGGCATACAAAGTCATCATCGGAGTCGGCATCCGGCATTCGTTGCGGGTGATAAATTTTCAATTAGCTTGACTTGAGCGCCCACGCAAAGGATCGATCAGAGCTACCATACACTATATACCATATAGAGAGTGAAAAAAAAGGAATCTATATATGGTAGCGGAACCAATCCGTATTGACACTGCCGCACGGGCGACAAAGCGACCTCATCATGGCCCATTGTGTGTAGTGCAACATTAGGTCACGGCTAATCAAGTGGCCAACACCTAGGAGAGAAGGATACCATACCCACGTGTGTGCACTACTGAGCCACCTACTGAGGACCTCTGACCCTCGTCCTTTTCGGCTAGTCCTGTGCATATATTAAAAACAATAACTCTTTGTTGCCTTCATTCATTTTTCTGTGGGCATCTTGGTGGGTCTCGGGCTTTAGTTATTTTAGATACGATCCATAAATATTCCCACACTTCTAGAATTGACAACTCCATTAGTCAGAGGGATAGTGGACATTGGTCATTCCAGGGGTCTGCTTTATATTTTAAAACCAGAAGGTTTCCAAAACGAATTCTGACAGCCAGGAAGTTATTTGCATTTTAATAAAGAAAATAAATGTATATATAGATTTTGCTTTCCATTCCACTATTATTTTTATACCCTTGCAGAGGGTATTATAATTTTGTCCAAAAGTGTGCAACGCAGTGAAGGAGACATCTCCGACCCTATAAAGTATATATATTCTTGATCAGGATCACCTCCTGAGTTGATATGAGCATGTCCGTCTGTCCGTCTGTCCGTCTGTCCGTCTGTCCGTCTGTCTGTCTGTCTGTTTCTACGCGAACTAGTCTCTCAGTTTTAAAGCTATCGACTTGAAACTTTGCACACACCCTTCTTTCCTTTGCACGCAGTATATAAGTCGGAACGGCCCGGATCGGCCGACTATATCCTATAGCTGCCATATAACTGATTGATCGGAAATGGTATAACTTCGGTGTTTTTAGAGTTAGAGAGTTCAAATTTGATATGAGAGCTATTTTTGGCAAAATAATATGACATGCCAAATTTCATAAGGATCGGCCGACTATATCCTATAGCTGCCATATAACTGAACGATCGGAAATGACCCAACTTTCGTGTTTTTGATGATAGAAAGCTGGCACTTGGTACACATTCTATTTTTGGTCAGTTAATCCGACCTACAAAGTTTCATTAGGATCGGTTGACTATATCTTATAGCTGACATATAACTGAACGATCGGAAATGGTATTTGGTAGAAATATTAAATTTCGTATTTTTGAAGATAGAAGCTTGGGACTTTTTTTTAGATTTTTTATTGTAATTAATTGGTTTTATTATGATGTAATCATAAGGATCGGCCAACTATATCCGATGTTTGCGCTATATATTCGGTTTTAGCTGCAAGGGTATATCAACTTCGGCTCCGCCCGAAGTTAGCTTTGCTTTCTTGTTAGATATATTTTAATCTTATTTATTATGTTAGTTTTGTTATTGATTAAAAAATAACAAACATAGCATTCTTTCACAATCACACGTCTTCATAAAAAAGGGTTAAAATTCATTGAAAAAGAAGCCCTAAGACTTTGATGAAATAATTTAAATAATTTGATTGATTGACAGAGTGATATGTATGACACATATAAAAAATTGTGATAATGGAGGCTTTATACGAAAAATAAAATGTCACTATCCGGGAGATGGTAATGTTCTTTGAATTTCTAAAAAGAATTAAAACAGCTTTGATGACTTGCGCATTTCAAAAGTAAAGCTTGAATGGTTTTTCCAAATTTTATAATCATTTTACGGTTAAAACTAAAGAACTTATAAATGGGAGATTTTTGAAAATAAAAAATATATTTCTTAAATAAAGAAATGATTCTAAAAACTGGGTTACATTATTGCTTCCTTCCGGGATTGGGTTTTAACTCTTATCGAGGCAAACGGCGAGCTTTGATTGATTTTTGTAAAATCACAGAAATCATAACGCCAGTCACACGTTATCGTGTTATCGATAAGATTGGAGGCTTATTTGTTATTGTTTTCGGGGGGTATAGCACCCCTCTATAAGAACTCGGGAGGACCGGAGAATGCCAGTCAGTTGAATTTCAAACGCGCCGACGCGAACATGGCTCACTTTCAGTTTCTGGTCGGGATTCTCATTCTTCTGTCGGCCCTGGCCGATGGATCTCTTCACAGGATACCCCTCCACAGATCTCCAAACTTTAAGAGAACCCGCGAAGCCATTGTGGCGGAGCAGCTCTATGTGGATCACAAGTACAACCTCAACACTACGGCCAACGGCTTCCCCATGGAGCAGTTATCGAACTTCAATAACTTCCAGTACTACGGAAATATAAGCATCGGAACTCCGGGGCAGGTCTTTAGTGTCCAATTTGACACGGGCTCCGCTAACCTGTGGGTGCCCAGCGCCCAGTGCTCGAGTCCCGCCTGCGTTCAGCACAAGCTGTACTACAGCAACATGTCCAGCACCTTCCAGAGCAACGGGTCGGTCTTCGACATCACCTACTTGGAGGGTACTGTGGCGGGATTCATGTCGCAGGACTTGGTGTCCGTGGCAGGCCTTCGGGGTGTGCTTCAGACCTTTGGCGAGGTGACCACGGAGACGGGTACCAACTTCCTAAACTCCAGCTTTGATGGAATCCTGGGCATGGCCTTTCCCCCGCTGGCCGTCAACTTGGTGACTCCGTTCTTTCAGAATCTGTATCACCACAAGCTGGTGCAGCAGCCGGTGTTCTCGTTTCTGCTGCGGAACAACGGCACTACCGCCAGCTACGGCGGAGAGCTCATCCTGGGCGGCTCAGATCCGGCGCTCTATCGCGGCCAGCTCACCTACGTGACGGTCAGCAATCCCGAGTACTGGCAGTTCGTCACGGACTCCATCCAGATGGGAAACACGGTGATCAGTCGGGGATCGGCGGCGATCGCGGACACCGGCACTTCACTTCTGCTGGCTCCCCTCGCCCAGTACACTCAGATCGCCGGGATATTCAAGGTGAACTCGCTGGGATATTTCCGGTGCCGCAAAATCAGTTCGTGGCCGACGCTGAACTTCAGGATTAGTGGAGTATCCTTCAAGGTGCCGCCGCAGAACTATATCCTGCAGGAAGGCGCCTACTGCACTCTGGCCATCGTGAGCTCCAATCAGGAGTTCTGGATCCTGGGCGACGTCTTCCTGGGACTCTACTACACGATATTTGATGTGGGCAACCAGAGGTTGGGTTTCGCGAATGTAAATAGTACTGGATCTACTCTAGGACAGATGGGTGTGTTCACTATGTTACTGAGCTTTATCCTATTGAAGCTGTGGGTCCATTGAGTTCGAGTCTGAATCATGATTGTTATTATTTTTTTTTTTTGTTATATATTAACTATATATTAAATAAATAAAGTAAGAGTGTTAATGATAAAATGATTTTTGTTTAAAAGACAAAGCTTGTATTGGGGGTATTGTGGCCAAGAAACAAGTCTACTTAGAACGGACAAGGTTACAAGATTATAATACCCTTAACCCATTTATATTCTAATTTCATTAATTACCCAAAAACGAGGTTTGATTGATTTTGTAAATTCGCGGGAAGCACACACGCGACTCGCTCGTTATCGTTATCGATAAGATTGGGGGCTTATTTCTTGCCAATGTCTATATCATTATTATATGAGAGCCCGGAGGCGGAAGGCCAGTCAGTTGTTTTGGAAACTCTTTGCCGTCAACATGGCTAACTTTCATTTTCTGGCCGTGATTTTGTCAATCTATGCGGTGGCTGTCCTGGCCACGGGATCTCTGCGGCGGATTCCCATCCAGAGATCTCCAAACTTCAACAGAACCCGGGCAGCAGTCCGGTCGGAAATGTCGTATATCCGGAACAAGTACAACATGGACGCTGTGGCCAATGGATATCCAATGGAGCCATTGTCGAACTACGACAACTACCAGTACTACGGGAACATAAGTATCGGCACACCGTCTCAGTTCTTTAATGTCCAGTTCGACACGGGCTCCTCAAATTTGTGGGTGCCCAGCTCTCAGTGTAATGACTTCGCCTGTCTTTTGCATACCCAGTACATCAGTAGTCAGTCCAGCACCTACCAGGCCAATGGAACATCCTTCAACATCACTTATGGAACGGGGAGTGTCTCGGGATTTATGTCCCAGGACGTGGTGACAGTGGCCGGACTCTCTTCCGCCAATCAGATCTTTGGCGAGGTGACTACGGAGAGGGGCAGTAACTTTCAGAGCGCCAACTTCGATGGCATCCTAGGCATGGCCTTTCCCTCCTTGGCGGCCAACTTGGTGACTCCGTTCTTCCAGAACCTCATCAATAACGGCGAGGTCGAACAGCCCGTGTTTTCCTTCTATTTGCGGGACAACGGCAGCACTATAAGCTACGGCGGAGAGCTTATCCTGGGCGGATCGGATCCCACCCTCTACAGGGGAGAGCTCACCTATATTCCGGTCAGCTATCCCGCCTACTGGCAGTTCTACACAGACGCGATCCTCCTGGGCAACACTCTGATCAGCATGGGAGATGTGGCCATAGCGGACACTGGCACTTCGCTTCTGGTGGCTCCTCAGTCCGAATACGATTCGATTTCCAGTCTTTTTGGTGTTGATTCCGAGGGACTCTTCGCCTGCGGTACGATCAACATGTGGCCCAAGCTGTACTTCAAAATCAACGGGGTCTTCTTCGAGGTGTCGCCGGAGTACTACATCATCCAAGACGACTTCTACTGCTCGCTGGCCATTCAGAGCTCCAATCAGGAGTTTTGGATCCTGGGTGATGTCTTCCTGGGACGCTACTACACGGAGTTCGATGTGGGAAACCAAAGATTGGGCTTTGCTCCAGTGAATTCTGCCAGTGCTCTAGGCCAGATGGGTGCATTGGTCTTGTTTGTTGTCACTGCCTTTCTAACCTCTAATCTTTTGGATTTTTGATTAAAAGGAACATGTAGTCTTTCCAAAATGTCATTTAAATGAGTGCGAGTCTAATCAGTTAGTTAAATATTGTTTTTTTTTGGTATATGTTATAAAAATAAATAAAATGTTTAATGTGAAATGCAAATCTGTTGTGTTGGTTTGAGCTCTGGGAACCCTTTACTATCCGTACTTCCTCCCATAGTTTTGGAGGTCTTGAGAACTAAACGGATCTAACTTACTTTTCATTAATCATATGAATAAGAACCGACTTTCCACAAAATTATCTATCAGGAAGACTCATCAGAGAACATGTCACCGCCTTTGATTACATTGTCTATTGATTGATTGATTGGAAGGGCTCATGACGTATAGAAATTATACGATACCAGTTAATGGAAATAGAACTTTTGTATCCAAGGTGATACAAAAAGAAGTTTGCATTGACTTTCGTCATTTCCTTGAAAGGATTAACGAAAGTTTCGGGAACTGAATCATGGAGTACACATTATTTTGTTTATTCTGAATGTTCGATAATGAAATCACAAATAGATAGGAAAGTTAAGGCCACTTATCGGGGGTGAGTAAGAGGGCTTGTGAAATATTTTGGAAAGGAAACAAGTTGAATGCGTGAGCGATAAATAGAACGAGTGTAACACTAGCTTAATTTCGGATATTAAGTAACTCTCACCCAGACTGCCCGTTATCTGCATTGATAAGGGGGAGGCTTAACTCCGAGTTGTACTTTTTACTTATAAGAACTGAACGGAGTGGGAAGCGGCCAGTCAGTTGTTTTAGTTACCTGCCGCCGTGAACATGGCTCATCCCCAGATCCTGTTGGCCCTGCTGGCCTTGCTCCTGTCGGTGGTGGTGTCGGTTAATGGATCCCTCCGCCGCATCCCTATTCAGAGATCCCCGAATTTCAAGCGCACCCGGGCGGCGGCCAAGGCGGAAATGTTCTACATTGCCAGGAAGTACAATCTTAATGTCGCCACCAATAGCTCCGCTGTGGAGAAGCTCTCCAACTACGACAACTTCCAGTACTACGGAAACATCAGCATTGGCACTCCCGGCCAGAACTTCCAGGTACAGTTCGACACGGGCTCCTCGAACCTATGGATCCCCAGCTCTCAGTGCACGAGCACATCCTGCATGGTCCACACCCGGTACTCCAGCTACCAGTCCAGCACCTACAAGAGCAACGGCTCCATCTTCAACATCACCTACGGCACGGGCAGTGTCTCCGGCTTCATGTCCCAGGACGTGGTGTCGGTGGCGGGCCTGGTGATCCGCAACCAGACCTTCGGTGAGGTGACCTCTGAGTCGGGTACCAACTTCTTGAATGCCAGTTTCGATGGAATCCTGGGCTTGGCCTTCCCCATGCTGGCGGTCAACCTGGTGACTCCATTCTTCCAGAATCTGATTAGCCAGAATGTGGTAAAGCAGCCGGTGTTCTCATTCTACTTGAGGAATAATGGCACAACCCTGAACTACGGTGGTGAGCTGATCCTGGGAGGATCGGACCCGAAACTGTATCGTGGCGCACTGACCTACGTCCCGGTCAGCTATCCCGCCTACTGGCAGTTCTACACGGACTCCATCCAGATGGGCAACACTCTGATCAGCATGGGAGATGCCGCCATCGCGGACACGGGCACTTCCCTCCTGGTGGCACCCCAGGCGGAGTACACCCAGATCGCCAAGATATTCAGCGCCGATTCCGAGGGAGTCTTTCCCTGCGGCAAGATCAACAAGTGGCCCACGATGTGGATCAAGATCAGCGGTGTATCCTTCCAGATCACGCCTGAGTACTATCTCATCCAGGAGGGATACTACTGCGCCCTGGCCATCCAGCCTGCCGATCAGGACTTCTGGATCATGGGCGATGTCTTCCTGGGACGCTACTACACGGAGTTCGATGTGGGCAACCAGCGATTGGGCTTCGCTCCCGTGAATGCCGCCAATACCCTTAGCCAGTCGGGTGTACTGGGCTTACTGATGGTCCTTGCCGTCTATAAGATATTCTTCCACTAACCTTACTATACCTCCAACTATATAATAGCTACCAATTTTTTTTTTATTTTTTTTCCCCTGAAATGTAAAACCGTAAACCGTTTTATTTAATAAATAATTCCCTTTTAAACTTTGGTATGTGGGGGAAGCATGTCATTTAAACCGCCACCGCGAGCCCATCGATCACACCGATAACGTAAGTTCTAGATAAATACTTGGCTCTATTTCGAACCCGGCACTATGTCTATTTAGCCAAAAGTAAATAGGGGATCAGGCCCGAGCCATCTGACCTGATTGAGTTGGCCAAAGGCTTGTCTCTTATTTTTTTGTTCTGTGTGTTAGGGGAGAACCATAGCCTTTGGGGTTTTGTTTTTGCAGCTTCTCCGGGGGATCAGTGATCGCAAATTGGGCGAACCTAATTGGCCTGTCGCGTGATTTATTGTGAAGAAAAAAAAAATTACAAAAACACACACAAGAACCGAGTCTGGGGCCAAGAAAAAACAACTGGCAGCAAAGAAATTGGAACTCAAACTGAAGAGTGAAATGAAGTGGAACTCAATGAGCGCATTATTTATGTGATGTTATTTTTTGTGCTTTGGCCAGGATTAGGCCTCGGCTCTCCCACACGGATCTCGCCCGGTGGTCGTAACAGATCCAGATCACGACCCAATGTACTTGGAAAAATATTTTTGTAGTTCTTTAAAGGGGTTTATTGGTAGTTCTTCTAGAAGGTTTAAAAAAAGTCCATGAAAGGTATCAAAACAAGTCCAAAAGTAGACAACATTTATGGAATAAAAAAATACAATTATTGGGGTCCAAGTTCCGGTGACGAAAGCCTCTAATTCCCACAAATTTATGAAGAGAAATTATTGCTTTGAAAATATTTTACTTTTATTTATGAATACGAATTAATAAAAAGATTTATAAATATTTATTAAATTTTTAAATTCAATTCTTAAGCATTTAAAGTTTTTAAAGTCTGGGATATATTTTAATTAAGAATTTTATACAATTTGTAATTATATATATATTTTTAAAAGCTTAAATTCAAATAGAAAAATTAATGAATTTAAATACATCATTAAAAGGCAATGTTCCGGTGAGGAATTCTTTTGATTTCCCCCAATCTAGTTTTCAATTAAATAGGTTTATACTTGATTTTATATTTAATAAAGGCCTGAAATTTGAAAAGATTAATCTATAGCCCGGTTTGTTTCAGTGCCTTCTGCAAGATCGTTCTCTAATGAGTGCGTATTCCCGATATCGGGCTTTAGATTTATTGGACCAGCAATTGCATCAACCTCAAGCCACCATCAAGCTCATCAAATACCAATAAAATATCATTTGCAGCAATTGCTTTTGGGAGGATGGCCAGATCCCGAATGAAGTATGGCAGGATCCCAAGAAGTATGGACCACCGGCATTTGACCCCAAAGGGTATCCAAGAGTCCCGAGAGCGAGAGGCAAGATGGCAATCTGTCTCATTAGCCGCAAAAGCTGCGCCTGATTTATGGCTCGTTCGATTGTTTCGTTCGACATACATATATACGTTTCGTGTATCTGTTAGCTGTTAGTCGGGCAGATAAATCACATTAAAATATTTCACCAGCGGAATCCCTTAACAAGTTGTCCGTTGACAAATCTCTAAACGGAATCAGTTAACAACTTAACTAATGATTATCAATACGCATTTAAACAGGCAACGACTTTGCATATCGTTTATCGATAAGCTCACAGACAAAAACCAAAGAACAAGAGTTGAAAGCCGCCAAGAAGACACTAACTTAGACAGGGGTGTACAAAAGGGGGAAGTCAATAAATCCCATTTTAAGGGGGTTTTTCTGATCGTAATTTTATTTAAAAAAAAATAAATTATTAGTATATTTTTTAAGAAAACCCCTTTTTTATTATCCTGCCTACGTCCATGCTTTCTCACTCATACGACATGATCGCCAGCGAGACAAAATAATCTTTGATAACGGCTTTGTCGCTTCGCACATCTGCAAATTGTTGTTGTGCGGCTCTTAGCTTTTCTTCCTGTCTCTCTGTCTTCAGGGCTTCCTTTCTTTCAATTCTAAAAAACCAAGCAAGAAAATGTTAGTTCTAAAATTAATTTAAGACTAATTAAAAATTATAATACATTGATTCTATAAAAATAAATCGAAATTTTTATGAATAATAAACCAAGTATCTCAAAGATTTTAAGCCTTCTTTTTTTCAGTGCCTGTATAAACATCCACAGGATGCATTCCCTTAAAATATGCAAATTAAATGTAAATAAGTTTGGCAACTATTCGCCAAAGCTTTCCGTTTAGTCCTTATAAGATCTTTGAAGAAATCTTAAGAAAATATCTTTAGATCTTTAAGAAAATATATTTTATCGTAAATGTTCTTGTCTTGCATTTTTAGCCCAAAATTAATATAATTTCCTTTAGATACTTTTTATTAACGACACAACAAAAACCTTCTTGGTTGGCCTAAAAATTAATGAAAACATTAAAAACCACTCAGGATCTATCATTTCCAATTTAGATAAGTTCATTGATTGATTTTAAATAAAAAAAAAAAATAGAAAGCCAAAGCCCAAGCCAATCGCCATCGATTGGTGGGCTTTTGTAATTCCCGATGCAATTATAAAATTGTTTATTATGAGCGGAAAAAGTGTGGCCCTTATAAGTGAGAGATAAATCAAGGGGATAACGGCGATAAAGAGCATTTTCGCTGGGGATTCAGACAGCGTCTTCGTTTCGCTTCGTTACAATTCGATTCGATGTGAATCGGCACTGAAAAAAAGTGTATGATCTTGTAATAATTTCATGATGAAATTTTCGTCAAAATAAATAATAAAAACTAATTAAAGCAACAAAAAGTAAAAAATCAATAGCCTAAAATATTTAGTTGAAAATTATAATTATTATAAGAATATGTCTATAGATAGATAGGATAGGATAGTATCATGGTAAATATATAAAGTATATAGTATTTAGTAAACTAAATATTGTAAAGATTTCATGATTTTTATACCCTTGCAGAGGGTATTATAATTTTGTCCAAAAGTGTGCAACGCTGTGAAGGAGACATCTCCGACCCTATAAAGTATATATATTCTTGATCAGGATCACCTCCTGAGTTAATATGAGCATGTCCGTCTGTCCGTCTGTCCGTCTGTCCGTCTGTCCGTCTGTCTGTCCGTCTGTCTGTCTGTCCGTTTCTACGCGAACTAGTCTCTCAGTTTTGAAGCTATCGTCTTGAAACTTTGCACACACCCTTCTTTCCTTTGCACGCAGTATATAAGTCGGAACGGCCCGGATCGGCCGACTATATCCTATAGCTGCCATATAACTGATTGATCGGAAATGGTATAACTTTGGTGTTTTTAGAGTTAAAGAGTTCAAATTTAACACGAGAGCTATTTTTGGCAAACTATTACGACATGCTAAATTTCATAAGGATCAGCCGACTACATCCTATAGCTGCCATATAACTGAACGATCGGAAATGACCCAACTTTCGTGTTTTTGAAGATAGAAAGCTGAAACTTAATACAGATTATATTTTTGGCCAGTTGATCTAACCTACCAAATTTCATTAGGATCGGCCGACTATATCCTATAGCTGCCATATAACTGAACGATCGGAAATGTTTTTTGGTAGAAATACCAACTTTCGTATTTTTGAAGATAGGAGCTTGGGACTTTTTTTTTATATTTTTTATTGTAATTTATTGGTTTTATTATGATGTAATCATAAGGATCGGCCAACTATATCCGATGTTTGCTATATATCCGGTTCTAACTGCAAGGGTATATCAACTTCGGCTCCGCCCGAAGTTAGCTTTCCTTTCTTGTTTTTACCCAATTTTCTTCAGGTGTTTTGGCAGTGGGGGGACCTTGGGTGCGATAAGGATAACTAGTTTCGCGGCCGGGTGCCTGGCGAGCGACCTAAGTGATTACAGTTTATGAGTTATTGTGGGGCAGCGGACGCATGGCACTACCATCAGATATTATTTACTTTAATCTGCTGCATCGGGCCAACTTAATTGCAAAACATGGGGGAAAAAGTTGAAGCTGCCACTGCCACTGCCACTGCCACTGCGACTGCAACAGTCCATGTCACGCATGCGGCACACTTTTGCGCCCCGAAAACTGTGTAATTTGTAGCAATTTTGGCTTGAAAGCCACAACACGCTGGAACGCTGAAAAAGGGAAATAATATGATGATGATAACAACAAGCGCGGGAAACTGGGTCAAACTTTTATAGTGAATCGTATCTGGCCAGACAGAAATCGGCCATAAATGAAAATGACGCCGATCCCGATTCCAAGATCCCGATCCATATACCCATCATTCCCATACTACTTTTATAAATATTTTTTTGGTAGTGGTGCTGGTGGTGGTGCCACAATAAAAATTTAGTTTAATGAAAGTGTTTTTCGGTTGCAGCGATATTTTGATGGCTTGATTGCCTCTGTTGGGATTATGATATAGAGCAGACATTAAAGCTATAAATGCACAAGAAAAAAAGGGATAGCTTTTAAGATAAAAATAAATATTTCTTGAACAAATAGAATAATATCCTTTCTTAGGATAATAGATAACTATTTAGGTCTATTTATTTATGCACTATTTCTTATATATTTTCTTTTTGTGTGAATATTACGAGATGATCTTGCCTTAAAGCTTGAAATACTTATTTGGGATTCAGTTTTTACCTTGGCATTTATGGCATAATTTTGTCTCATCAACGACAGACATACGTATGTATATAACTAAAAATACTTATATATACGTAACATCGGAGAGCAATCATCATCAACAGTAGCCTGGCCTGAGGCTGAAGGACATGCAACATGCCACATCCTGTTGCCGGTTACCTCTCTAGATTAAATGGAAAGTTAATCAATTAAAATCGCTTACTGTGATCAAAGCCAGGCCTAAATCCGGCCAAGATCCCGCCCACTTAATCGCTCCTTGTTAACCGAATATTTCTCCTTCTTCACTTTTTTTTTTTGCATCTCCCATCCAAGTGACTTAATTAGCATGCCGAAAGGTATTCCAATGGAATCAATCAAAAGACTCAACAAAAAACAAAAACATAAAAACCAGTAAAAAAAAAATGCATAACAAAGT